TTGTCCTTTATGGCTGCATAATATTCCATTGTGTACATATACCACAGTTTTTTAATCCAGTCCAGCTTCCATGGTCAACATGGTTGGTTCCATGTTTTTTCATAACATTCTTAAAGTACTGTGTTTTGATGACATAAGTACAGGAAGAGGAACAACAAGTAATGACAGCGAGAATCCAGGATCAGAGCTGCATGTGAAGTCTAGAATTAGTATTCACAGCCCATGCAGAACACACGTGACCAGTCAGCTGCATCTCAAGTCTAGAACTGGTATTCACAGGCCCATGTAGGACACCTGATGAATAGTCAGCTGCATCAGAGGCACCTGCCTAACTTGGGTTTACAGGGTGAGTAGCCTCTATCCTAAAATCCAAAATCTGAAACGCGCCAACACACAGTCTATTCAGCGTCCCCAAGGGGGTTACTGTCGAGTAACCTTTACTCAAAACCCCGCATCTCAGGCAGGGACTGAACCCGACTGTTCAACAGTGCAACAGCTCCTATGGGGTTCAGTCGCCCTGGACACACTACTTTTAATGGCATGAATGATATATTATATTTTTTCCTGCCAGGTACTGACTCCTCTGTGACTAAGGGTAAGAAGATGGTTGCTTATGAGTAGCATACAAATTCAGAGTCAGAAAACCAATCACAATCAGAAAACCAACCACAGAATGTTCACACGGGTGACTGAGATGGTGGCACCTTTGCTGTCTGATGGCTCGATGTACATTAACTTTGTTTCATTATAAGAAAATTATTCAGGCTATATGTATAAAATGTAGATGAAACATAAACAGATTCACGCATAAATTTGGGTCCTGCCCCCAAGGTGTCTCACTATGTATACATAAATGTTCCAAATATTTCTTAAGTATTTAATTTTTCAATAGTTTTTTTAACTATCCTTTTATCTTTATGTTTGTAAATTATTTAGAAAATAACTTAAATTTTTTAAAGGGATTCATTTGGCCAGGCGCAGTGGCTTAAGCTTGTAATCCCAGCATTTTGGGAAGGCTGAGGCAAAAGGAATGCCTGAGCCCAAGGGTTCAAGATTAGTCTGGGCAACATGATGAGACCTTGTCTCTACAATAAATCGAAAAAATTAGGTGGGAGTGGTGGTGCACGCCTATAGTTACAGCTACTTGGAAGGCTGAGGTGGAAGGATCGCCTGAGCCCAGCAGGATGAGTGTGGCTGTGAGTGTGCCACTGCACTCCAGCCTGGGTGACAGAATGAGATTCCAACTCAAAAAAGGGGGGGGTTCACCTCAATCCAGATAGTAAATGGTGATGACTATTTTCTTGATATACTGAGGGTCAAGATATTTGGAGAGGCAAAAAACTGTATTATTAGGGATAAGCTGTAAAACTGAATTGGTTCTGGAACTTTCTGAAAAACTGAAACAGTTACGGGGCTTGCACTGACCCACCCAGACCCACCTGTGGAACCAGGTGAGCCAGTCAGAGGCCAGAAGGTGGAAGGGCGCTTGAGGCAATGCTGGAGCGAGGAGAGAAACCACTGAACAGCTGAGCACCAGCAAGCAGGCCTGGGTACTAGAGGGCTGCTGTGACAGCAACATGTGCGACTCACCTCCCTCAGCAAGAACAGGAAAAGGCAGTACACAACAGGCTAGATTAGACTTAGCCAAGCTTGCTAGATTTTAAATGTTAATCATTGTTATTGTTTTTTTTTTCTTTTTTTGAGTTGGAGTCTCACTCTGTCGCCCAGGCTGGAGGGCAGTGGCACGCTCCCGGCCACCGCAGCCTCGACTGCTGGGCTCCGGCGATGCTTCCTCCTCAGCCTTCCAAGTAGCTGGAACCACAGGCACGCGTCATCATATCCAGCTCATTTTTTTGATTTACTGTAGAGATGAGGTCTCACAAGTTGCCCAGGGAGATCTCGAACTCCTGGACTCAGGCAATACTCTTGCCTCAGTCTCCCAAAGTATTGGGATGACAGGCTTGAGCCACTGCACCCAGCCTTTTATCAATTCTAGAAAATTTTAAGCCATTCTTTCTTTGAATATCGCCTCTGCATCATTCTATTTGACTTCTCATTTTAACTCTGTAAGCTCAACCTTCATGTTTTCCAACCCCTATTCCGCTATGCTACACTGAGTGATATCTTCAGGTCTGCTCTTCTGTTTGCCGCTTCTCTTTCCAGTTGACACTCACTGCCTTATGGGGATGAGTTTTAACTTTTGATGGGTACATCTTCCATTTCTTGAAGCTATTTCAGCTTCCCCTGTGAGAATATCTTGTGGCCAAGGTTGCTAAGGTATCCCTTGGGGTTTACTTATATTTTATAACCTATAGTTTTGCTAATCTAGAACTTTTTTTTTAAGAGTCTTACTCTGCTACCCAGTCTGGAGTGCAGTGATGTGATCACAGCTCACTGCAACCTCAAACCCCTGTGCTCAAGAGGTCCTTCCACCTCAGACTCCTGAGTAGCTGGGACTACATGCATGTACCACTACGCTTGGTTACTTTGTAGAGATGGGGTCTCCCTATGTTGTCCTGGCTCGTCATAAATTCCTGGCCTCAAGCAATCCTCCCACATCAGCCTCCCAAATATCTGGGATTACAAGCATGAGCCATTGTACATGGATAACTTTCTTTTTTTTTTTGAGTTGGAGTCTCACTCTGTCGCCCAGACTGGAGTGCAGTGGCGGCTCCCGGCCATCGCAGCCTTGACCTGCTGGGCTCCGGCAATCCTTCTGCCTCAGCCTTCCGAGTAGCTGGAATTACAGGCATGTGCTACCATGCCCAGCTGATTTTTTGATTTATTACCAAGTTGCCCAGGCAGGTCTCGAACCCGTGGGCTCAGGCAATCCACTCACCTCAGCCTCCCAAAGGCGCGGGATTAGAGGCTGAGCCACCGAGCCCGGCTGGATAACTTTTCAATTAATATATCAGTTTAAGGATCACAAGCCACATAGGCATCATATATTTACATTTACAAATGTTTACATTTATAATTTTATTTATTTATGTTTTATTTACTTGTTTATCTGTTTTATTTACTTATTTATCTCTTTGATTTATTGTTTGTTTGATTGGTTGATTCATTCATTCATTCACTTATTTTGAGTCAGGGTCTCACTCTGTCACCCAGGCTGGAGTGCAGTGGCACGCTCACAGCCACCGCAGCCTCAACCTGCTGGGTGATTCTTCTGCCTCAGTCTTCCAAGTATTTGGAACACAGGGGTGCACCACCATGCCCAGTTAATTTTTTGACTTATTATAGAGAGGAGGTCTCAATCGAGTTGCCTGGGATGGTCTTGAACCACTGGATCCAGGCAATCCACTTGCCTCCACCTCCCAGAATGCTGGGATGGCAGGCGTGAGCCACTGCACCTAATGGTAGTATATATTTATTCAATTCCTAAACCAGCATAAGCAAAGTACCAAAGTTTAGGATCCCTATGGGAGAGTTCCTGGCTCTCACTGCAGATCCCAGGGAGACAGGTAAATGTTTCAGTGATTTCTCTGTGGTGGCGGCGGGTGTTCTCTCGCCTGCTGTTTTCATTACAGTCACAACCCCCTTTCTCTGGCACTCTCCAGAGACCTACAAATAAATGACTTTGTATGTACCCTGCTTTGGCCTGTGGTGCTCCCTAAGTCTGAGGATTTACCGCAGCCTGAGATCTGAAGTTCCATTGCCCCGTCCCTACCACCAGTGGGTTCGGCTTCCTGTTGGGTATTGAAACCCAAGCCCACACATCATGAAACTGGAATCTCCAGCTCCTGTCTTGCCACGCTAATTTTTTGGAGATTAACTTTTCTTTCCTAAGAATTCAACTGTGCATTTAAAATAATTTTAGTTACACTTTACTCAGAGTTAAGTTTTATTTTGTTTTTAATTGGCATGTAACTGTACATATTTAGAGGGTACAGGGTATACCCAGCATTTGAAGGTGACCACAGAAAGAAAGTTTTCAGATTACCTCATCTACTGTATGACCAGAACCATAAATCTCATGGCATTGTTCTTAGACTTTGCTAATGAAATATGTTATTATTCGCATGTTAATCAGGGTTCTTCAGAGAAACAGAACCAACAGGGTATGTGTGTGCCTGTGCATATCCTTATGATGAATCTCTTTCTGTGTGTGTCAGCCTCTATAACTGTGTTGGCCAATTCCTTATGATAAATCTGCAATTACAAAGGCCGAGAAGCCTTGAGGTTTGCAGTCAGCAACCCGCAGACCCAGGAGAGCTGAAGGCGTGGTTCCAGTCCCAAGGCCTCCGGCTTGAGACCCAGCAGCAGCAAAGGCAGGAAAAGCCAAGGTCCCAGCTCCAGGCAAGAGACAGGAGGAAACTCCCTCTTACTCACATGGGAGTCAGCCTTTTTTATCTGTTCAGGGCTTAAACTGATGGGATGGGGCCTGCTCAGGTGGGAGGGCACGTTGCTCTACAGTTCAAATGTTAATTTCATCCAGAAATACTCTCACAGGCACACCCTGTGGCCCTCAAATTGATGTGTTTAATTAACTACCATAATTAGTAAACTCTGGTTTGATTTTTAAATAACTTTTTCTTCCCTAAGACCAGATCAGGTTTTCCCTGGAGCTCTGCCAACTCAGTCTGGTCATGCTACCACTGAGTGGCCTCAGCGTGAAGACAGCTTTCTGCACATGGACCTTCCATATCCATCATTCTGTAAGTCTGCCTATGGATAAGTGAACACGTTTCTCTGGAAGCACAATGGAGTAAGTGTCGCCTGAAAATATAGTCGTGATCTGTGTTCGCAAAGCCTTTGGCTCACACAGTCACCTACCTTTGTATCATGAACAGATGGGTCATGACATCCACATACACCATGGAAGCCCCCTACAAACCCCGGTGTTGTGCCATGTCTTGACCAAGTGTAAGTAAATTCTGCCTGCAAGTCATGTCAAAACACAGACTGGAGTGAGAGGCTTGCTACCACAGCACTGGATCCTGTCCATCATGCAACGGTCACATACTTCCACTGAATGAGACCTGCGTTTACATTACCCTCCTCTGCTCCTCCTCAGCATCGGCGAAGAGCTTGCGGATGTTGGCCTCTGACTCGCCCACGTACTTGTTGAGGATTTCCGGCCCGTTGACCACTTTGGGCTCTCTTGCATTCAACATCTTGCCGATCTGTCGAGCCAAGAGCGTTTTCCCGCAGCCGGGAGGCCCGTACAACAGGATGCCTTTCACGTGTTTGCAACCTGGAAAGGAGGAGAAAACAGTCTCACAGCAACCAACTAAAATCCAAGCAAGATTAAAGTTTTCTTTCCTCTTCATATGCACTTCAGGGAAAACACAGTGATGCTGTTTACATATATGAACATTCACGTGCCATGAGCAAGAATAAACAACTGAAAATACAGAAACAATTCCTGTAACAATACTAACATTTGAGGACTGGATAAAGGTCTTTGAAAAGGCATATGTGAGCTACCACTTTGAACAAACACTTGCAACTCTGACTCTCATGAGGAAATGATACTTATTTTCATTATCCTATACTTTAAAGGTCAGGAAGTAAAAATCTGTCCTTAGGCAAATATATCATACCACAGTAGGCTATGGGCGCTGTCTTAGTCACAGAATAACAAGTCTACCTGTCAACACATGCACCTGACAAAGGGCACGTGTGTCTGGGACAGATGGGTGTGGAGCAACACATGGGATCCAGGTGGACACCAAGGACTGCAAGGACTACGTTGAATGTCTCAGCTCATGGGACTAACAGCAAGCGAGGCCCACGCTTCTTAGAGCAACCCAAAGGAGGCAAAGTTCCCAGAGTGGCACTCAGTGACCTTCTAGGCAAGTGCTGTTGATGCCTTAAAGGTGCCCCATCACAATCCCAGAGGACCAGCCTGAAGGCCTAGGCCCCGAGTCTTTAGCCAGCTTACACACGCACTCGCTCCGCTTAAGGCAAGAAGGCCTGTGGCTTCTGTTGACTCACCAGGGCCCCTCGCCCTTCTCTCAGCTTCACAGTCGCGACACGTGGCCCTTTCTGATAAGCTACTGCTTTATGCTATGCTGTGAAGTAAGATTACCAGATTTCAGTGAAATACTCACATCTATGGGCGAAAAAGAAAATTTCCGAAATGTAAAACAGTATGTCTCCATGGAAAATGGTTTGCCCAGGTTTCAAATGGAAGCGTTAAAAAGCATATCTTTGAGAAAAAAGTACAACATACTTGAAAATGCATGTAAAACAAATCCCAAGACGCACACAGTCCTACAGAAGCCTGAGAGTCTGAGGAGGAGAAAGACCCTCTGAGTTGCCATAATGGCCTTTGCTTCTGCTGAGAAAAGATCCCCTTCAAATCCTTAAAGGTGATAAGTGTGTGGGGAAAAGGGGAACTTGTGGAAAGCCTCGAAGGTGTAGGGTCTTAGCCCTTCTCATCAGAGTGATTCTCTGATGAGAGAGCCCTGACCCGTCCTTCTAGTATATATGGTGGGGAGGTGAGGGCATAAGCCCTGAGCCTGCTCTGAGGGGCCAGGACCACCGAGCACTGCCAGCATCTGAGTCACAGGAACACACTGGGGAGGACGCTGAAGTCCGGCTCCTGACCTTCCCCATCAAGCCAACAGTGAACATCACAATTTGCATGCCAAGTCACAGCAGATGCCCGTGGTGGTGGTGGTGAGGCAGGTACAGGGAGGGGTGACCCAGGAAGGCAAGAATAGGATTTGCTGGGAGCCTGCACTGCACCAGCCTCTCACCCCAGTGTCTAGGCCTCCTCTCTTTCTCCAAGTGTCTACTTCCTCTTCCCGACACTTCCTTCGCTAGCAGGCCATGCTTTCTCTGAAGGCCTCGACTCCCTGGCCTTCGCATAGCCATCCCAGGAGTCCTGAACGTAATGTGGCTCCACTGTGCCCACCCTGGCCACAGAGCAGAGGAGGCTGCGCCAGGTGCTGACAGCCATCCCCAGCAAGCCAGTATGCCTAAGCCATGCTGCGTCTGCTCTCACTGCCTTCTCAACTCCCCTGACTTGTCTCTGGGTCCATGGCACTCTCCCTGGTCACCCAGAGCGCCATGTTCTTCTCAAGGGCCACATGCCACAAGCTTCCCACTTGCCCGACTGAATAAAAAAAAGACCCTCAGCTCCCTACTCATCTGTACACTCACCAGGAGACATATCCATCCTCAACCTCGGTTCTCAAAGGAGGAGGACTCTTCCTTCCTCTTCTGTGAGACTTACACTGCAATTGTGCGTTGACACTTCTCTCCGCATCTGCCAGCTATTCAAGGGTGAGCACTGCTGCACTGACTCCACATCACGTCTGGCATGTAGCAGGTACTAAACTCATGCAGAGAAGTGCATGTTGATTCTTTGCCAATAAAATTCAAAGAATATGAGGGACAGAAGGCCATTTTATTTTATTTTTTATTTTCTTGAGTTGGTGTCTCATTGTCGCCCAGACTGGAGTGCAGTGGCCGGAGCTCCCGGCCACCGCAGTCTCGACCTGCTGGGCTCTGGCGATCCTGCCGCCTCAGCCTTCCAAGTAGCCGGAACTACAGGCGCGCGCTACCACGCCCGGCTAATTTTATTTTTATTTATTGTAGAGATGAGGTCTCGCCTGCCCAGGCGGGTCTCGAACCTACGGGCTCAGGCAATCCACTCACCTCAGCCTCCCAAATGTGTGGGATTACAGGCTGAGCCACCGAGCCCGGCTTCAGAAGGCCATTTTAAAAACCATTTGAAGTTCTTAATTTATGGAACAGTGCTGACTTTCACAGCTGAGCTAATTTTATCACCTAAAAATCGAGTTTGCAATGACTGAGCAAAACAAACTAAATCATATATAAACAAGGGGCTCTTAACTTTGCAACTCCGGTTTTGTGCATGGAAAATGCTCAATCTAATGTGTTAGATTAAATTTACTCAGATCTTATAAAATAAGCAAATTCACAAAACATTGCCATGAATGAAGGTTAAGAGAAAAAGAGAGAAAATCATATCCACAGGACTTATATAATATAGACCTATAAAAATGATACACTATATTTAATATGACAACAACAGGAATATCATAGGAGCTCTAGAGTATTAGAATGGTAATTCTTCTAAGATCTCAAATAAGTACATCAAAAATATACAAACATGTAAATCCACTTCTAGAAAGGAAGAAGCCACTTGAACAAGCAGTGGAAGGGACTCTGTTATTACTACTGTTATTAGAGCCCATTCTGACTTATTAAATAAGCCATCGGTCTCTAATTTTACGTAAGTCATAAAAACTCTCTATAACTAATTCCACTCAACAAAAGCATATGTTTAGACTAGGTGTTAGGGATACAAACGTGAAAGAGAGTCCCTAGCCATAGTCATTCCTGGCTTAGGAGGAAACACAGAAATAAAAATAGGCCATCTGCAACACAATGTGACATTATCAGAGATGCATGAAATGCTTCTGGAATCCAGCTGGAGGGTGGGACTCTGCCAAGGCGACGGCAGGAAGTTAGGGATGCACCCGAGGAAGAAGGCACATTCCACCTGGGCCTGCGAGGATGAGGAGTTCACAATTGGGCAAGGGAGAGGAAATGGCACCTGAAGGAGAGACAAGCTTGATCAAGGGGCAGGGCAGGGTCACAGAGGAGTCCTGAGTGAGGACAGCAGGCTTCGAACTGCAGGTGCCAATGCTGTGCCCATGGGCTTTAACTTGTTTTTCAGGTGACCAACCACAAAAGGTGCTGGATGAGACTGGTCAGAAAAACGCCTTCTTGCTGTGGAGCAGAGGGAGAACTGGAGAACTGGAGAACAAGCCAGCGGAGGAAGGCTGGCTGGCTAGTGGAATGCTCTTGGCCTTCTTCAGGGACACCCACGTACCAGTTGGCTCCAGGTTTCTGTCACACCCTTTCCAGGTCTCTGGTCCAGTGGCCCCGGAGGCAACCTTCCCCCCAATGCCCAGCCCTCTCCCAAGTTTCTCAGGGACGGTGAAGCCTGGCTCTGATGCTGGGAGCTCTGCCCTCCAGGGCTGGCTGCCAAGCTGACCTAACAACTGTGACTTTTCCTTAACAGCCCCTTTACCTCCTCGCTGTCCAGAGACCAGGTGCAGGATCAGTGGGTGGAAGGCGAAGGGCAGGTGGCAGAGGAGGAGTCAGAGCTGACATGGGCGGTCGCGTTCTCACTCCGCTTCTCACTTTCCTCTCATGCGCTAGTCTCAGGAACCACCCAGAAAAATGCACACATACAAGACATGCAGACTCCCTCTGAAAGGGTTCCCAAGTCCCCGAGGATCACCCATGAAGCCAGATTTAAAGCTCCTGAGCATCCTACTGAAATACTCCGATAAGAGGCCGAGCACAAAGAGGCGGCAGCCACAGGACACAGCAGGGGAAAGAAGGAAGGTGTGAGAGATGTCAGAGCCCAGAGGCCCTAGGGAGCCAAAGTGGAAAGTCAAGGGCGGCTTGAGGGATCCAGCCTGAGCAGGCGACCTAGGACGCGAGAAGACGGCGCGGGGCAGGTGGAGAGCCAGGAAATCCGTGCTGTGGTCATAAGGCTCAGGGGGCAGGCATGTTACACACAGGGTACAAGCTCCTAGGAGGCATCAGAACTACTGCTCAGTGTGTCTAGATGCCTGCTCTGCACTCATAAGCCATGGAAGGCTTATAAGCTGAGGGATGTGACGGCCAGGTTGAATGCAGCTGAGACAGAGGGTGGGGCTCTGAGGAGAGGCCGGGGGATTCAGAAATCAGGCTGCTCCTGCTGCTCTGGGCCACGGGTGTTCCATCTGGGGGCACTTGGGGCTGAGCCCTACCTCTCATGTGGAAGAAAGCGAAGCAGTCAATGGGTATGGAGGTCATGCCCAGGGCTGGCAGCAGAAGGGGCAGTGAGAGGGTTTAGGACACCTAGCCCTCTGAGCCCAGGTGAGCAGAGGGAGAGAAGGCTGTGCTGAGAGCATCGGAGAGGACATTGGGAATGCGGGGAGGCCTAGAGAGCACAGGGAACCAGAAGCCCGGAGACTGTGCCTGTGCAGACACCGGTGCGCAGGCAACTGGGGCACACGAGGCCCAGGTGAAAGCAGGGCCCGTGCTCTTGTTGGATTTATAAGCACCTCACGCTGCCGGGTGGCTCTCACTCACAGCTATAAATACACATTTCACCAAGCTGGCAGAAAAGGGCTTGACTTTTTGGTTTGGCCACCTCTCTTTTTCCAAAACTGAATCTTGAAGACTAGGGACGTGGTAAGTAACAGGAGCAAACCAACT